CAAATTTGAGTATTAAACAAACAAAATTATATATAGTCAATTAGTAGCTTATATTTCTTCTGCTTATTCTCCTAACAATAACAAATGAATATCTATAATAAGAGATTTATCAATTATCTTGCCCCACAATATATTGCATTAATGTCACAATAAACAAGAGTTTGCTCGGTATCATTGATTGAAATTAAAGGATTTGGAAAATATTCTGCATGTGTTATGTAGGATCGATTTTTTCGATGCTTCCAACCACAACATACTACCTTACCACCTCAAAAATCCTTCATCTTGTTTAACCTGACAGCTTTAATGTCCGAGAAGAAACTCAGAAAAATACATTAATATGCAATCGATCATGAACTGTTAAGGAGAGAGACATCGCAACTTATCAGGTCTGAGTAGGGTCGTCAGCCGAGAACGCTAGTGCTAGTTTTATCTTCCTTCGGAATCTTAATAAAATAAAATACGAGGGGTGATAAAAAAGTTCGCGAACTAATTGAATTACTTCCTTAAAAGAAATAAAATGAGGTTTCAGTGTTCATTATTTTTTAAAGTAGTCCTCTCCGATTCTAATGCACATCTGCCATTGTGCTGCACATGCGCGAATCACGTGATCCAGGCGGTCACGTGAAATGCTTCGTAGCGGTCTGTTCACAGAAGCTAAGAGATTTTTCCGAGTGTTATATTTCTTACCATGCAAGTAATTTTTTTTAATAACAAGATCAGACCATCTGTCAGAAATGGCCAAGTCTCGGCAATAGGATAGGTGGATAAGGATTTCCCTTCCCAGAATTAGCATAGTGACCATCCTCTGTCTCGGGAGCGTCGTTTATCCAATGTGGAAAAAGTATGGGCGCCTTCTTCTTTTCATACCTCATATGTTTAATGTCTAAAGTAAACGATATCTTAGGGATTTGATATTTGTATTATTGCTCAGATATTCAACTTTTTTTCTTACTGTAACTTGGCAATCTTTTAAAACAAATTGCTCAACTAAGGACACATCTTTTTACCGGATTGCTTTCGCTGGGCAACAGAACAAACATCATTTTTAACCATCTCCCTGTCTTCACTAAAACATTCAATCCAATTAATGATTAAACTTCTGGTAAGTTTTTTGTCTTCATAAACCTTGTACAAATTATCATATTCTACTGCAAAGGAATTTCCGAGGTATACGTTAAATTTAACAGCCGTTCGTTGCTCGAGTACGACTGAGTCAACCATTTTTTGTCACAAGTGACCTATATACTAACGTCATTTTCACATTGTAACGTGACAAACACGGAGCAAAATATTATTTAATTATTTAACATCTGCTATTTATAGAACATGTGTATGACTATGTGTGTGCCAAATTTCATTCTGATCTGAATTGTGTTTTTTTAAGTATAGAGATAGTTCGCGAACTTTTTGATCACCCTTCGTAGAGTTTAAAATATCAGGCAAAATTCTTGAGTTCTCCACTTTAGAATTTATTGTTTACCAATTCCGCATATATCATTTTGAATTTTTTTTTTATCTAAAACAAGACATCACAGTTTGTCACCCTTGTCAAATTGCACGATCATGACAAGGAGCACACGGCATGTGTGACCAGTCGGCAGGGGATGCTCACTCCTTTACGTTACCTGATCCCAGCTCTGATGTTTCAGAGGTCCGTGTTTGCTCTGCTCCAAAATTTGTATTGTTTAAGGAGAGATGATACAAACAATTTTTTTTTCTTTTGAGGAGACTTAATATCATGTCACAGTTTTAGAAAAGTGGATAATTCTTTGAATTTTTCTCCTTTGACTTGGAGAATGAAATACCTTCCATATTTCCCCCAAAAAGTATACAACTAGAGTAATCATGGTAAAATTGTTTAATCTTCATTCATGTACCCTCTTTTTTCTTCAAAAATGTTTCTAAAGGAGCACAGAGTGAACTGATATTACATTTACTCAATAACCTGTTGTATTTTCTTGTATAAAAGAAAGGACACTGGGAAAATATAAGTTGTTACTTAAAAAAATTACAAATATGGACAAATCACACTCAATAAAGGTTTACAGATGAAAATAAATCTCAGAATATGTTAGCTTGATTTCGTCGGACTGAAATTTCAGGTGTATGTAATTTATTGCTTAAACAGCAAACATTTCGTCTGGAATTTGATCACATCTATACTTATAAATTAATAAATTTTGCAAATAAACTCCGAAACGGATGCATCAGAGTTCTTACTTACTCCTCTAACAATACACTAGATACAAGCTGATGTCCGTAAACTATATTTAGATTTCACTTGCATAGTAAATATCGTACATTAAATTAAAAGTCTACTTTTGTTTTCTATAAACAGCCATGAAATAGCAAAAACCTGAGTACGGTGGCGTTTCCGGTTGGCGGATCTAAGTTACTGGCAATTTTTAATGAAATTGACAACAAGCAATCATTTATTTATTTCATAAAACGTCATCACTGAATTATTCAATCAAAACTTGATTTAAATGATATAAAAGAAATAAGTTTTGATAACCGATTAAAAAGGGAAATGTGCAAATTATTTTCGTCATTCACCGATCTTAATATTGACGGAAGCTTCTAGAACATCATATAGAATCGAGCCCGATGTTAAAAAGAAAAACGAGGCGATCATTTAAAAAAAAAAGCTTTTGTATGAATGGTCATTGAAATAATGGTAAATCATTGATAACACTATAAGTTTTGAATATATTTATATATCGAAAGACTATTACATGTATGTCGTAGGTTTTTCTATAATAAATTTATTAGAATATTAATAAAATTTGTATTTATTCCTTATACTGAGAGCATCGTGGCAACGAACCCGAAGTACAATTTGTACTTCGGAATAAACCAGCTTACATGAAAGACAATTAAAGCTGTGTAAAATATTGTGCTTTAATCAATACATTTCAGTTTTTTTCTGAATAAAGTCATTTGTATCAAATACTCAGCCTAAAAGCTAATTTTTACACAGACCCTGTACTTGGGTCTTGCATTATAAATATGTATGTACCTTATTGATATGTAAAAAAAAAGTAAAGTACATTTTTACATATCAGTAAGGTATGTACATATTCATAAACCAAGACCCAAGTACCTGTGAATTTTTAACCCCCCCCCCCCCCCGAAAAAAATCAATTTATCAGTAAAATGTGCATATTCGCTGCTTTTATCCTTTACGGAAATGAAGTAAGAGCATCTGAAGTACAATATCCATAACATAGTATAACAGGTTTCACAATAAAGGTCAATTAATGAAATTGTTATATTTCAAGTTTTTACAGAAAAGGGGGGGGGGGGGCGGTGGAGACGTACATCTACTTCATGCGGGATTTTGAACAAAGTATTTCTTCCTCCTATAAGCCTGTAGGCTGTCAGTAGAAACTACAATATATTTTCTGTCGTTAGTGATATAAATTCAATTCCCCGCGCTTGCGCGCGGGATTTCATCTAGTATACGAAATAATTTGCAACGGGGATTCCACAAATCTCTCACTGAGAGTAGGGAATGTTTGAAGTGATATATGGCTTCTCCCAAAAAGTGTAAGAACGAAGCTTATAAAGTGTGAATATCTTCAATATTATAGAATATTACAATATCTGGTAAAATGCGAATGGTATTTTGTCCTGCTAAAAGACAAATTGCCATTTATATGTTTGATCTTCAATAAAACTGAGGACAGGCTACGTAGCCATCAGCCGATCAATGTAATTGAGATATCATGAATAAAAAAAAATAAATAACTTTCAATAAATTTTCAACTTTTTCTTTGCTTGGCATTAATTCAATAGCCCCAGTTTTTATTAGATTTCACGGGAAGCTTTCGTCTCAGTTCCTGTTTTCCTCTAGTTCCTAATAAATTGTAATTTTGGCATATTGAGCATCTGTTTTGCATTGGTTTATGCAAGAAACAAAATAAATACAGAAACATGTATACATTGTACCATTCTGTTTTCAAATGCAAACAATTCGAATAGTTATTTACATCTAAAAATGAAATGAAAGGCTATGTTTAAAGTAATGTTTGTTTGCCCTCTCCCGACTCAGGGTAAAAAAATGGGTTGGTAGTTAGGTGGGCAAATTTTTTTCCAAGAAAATTTCAACATACATATTTACAGGATAGGAAAATCCAGGAATAAAAAAAATCGTTTCCTGGAGGTTTAAAAAAGGTTTGTGTAGGTTTTTTTTGACAGTCGGTCGGGAGAGGGCAAACCAACATTTTTCTAAGGACTTAACCTTCTTTGTACCTGTCACGAGTAAAAAAAAAAAAACAAAACAAAACATAAGGGACAAAAATGTAAATCAGACATTAGCAAACCGCCATGATTCGCGAACAACATAACGATGGTTCCACACTCCGATCCCGGAAGTTGGTGGTGTGGGAAAAATTGAATTAATTAATTTCCCATGAACACTATTCATACTGAATTCCTCTTAGTGTGTAACTATTTTCAGACAAATCCTTTGCAACAATAGATACTTTTTTTCAAGCACTTACAAAAACAAAAAGGGATGATTCGATTTGTGATAAAATGGGAATCTGAAATTTTGGGGGGGGGGGGGGGGCTTTCAACTTCTTTGCAGCCGCGGAATTAGACTAGTACAGAACACCCGGTCACGAATTTGCAGAAATTGTACAGTATTTGCGTAGTTACAAATTAAGCCCTTTTGGTTTTCAGTTTATTCAATACGTTAATGCGTTTTAGACTATGATCGTTGAAAGTTGCTCTTTTGTCTCCATTATATTTCTCTTTTTTTAAAAATTAAAATGAAACCTTCGTGAAGTAAGCATTTTATTATTCTGATTATTCTGATAAGAACTGTTTGAAGTACCACAGCTCATCCAGTGCACTTTCTTATCGCACTTTTACCTTATTTTGTAGCAGACAATAACATGGACTCTCAACAGAACTGCACGATCCTCCAAATGTGTATTTTTACTATGTTTCCAGCCATTCTATTGATTTCCATTCTGCATGTGGCATTCAGCATGGCGACCATACCAGCTCCTTGTTGTTTAGGACAACAGTTTTCAGCTTCTATTGACGAAACAGGAGGACAAGTGCCTGAAGGAAAAAGTAGTAGATTCATTGACGTAAGTTTATGATAATGTATTAGACCAAAGTGTATCATATACTTGTGTATGTGTGTGTGGTGTGGAGGGTTAAACTCAACAAAAAATGTACATATAAAATGTATTATACATAGTTTATCGCACCCCTGAGAGAGGTAGAATTTTCTTATGAAGGTAAAGTACATGTATAATGTATTATACAAAACTTATAAGGTACTTTGGAGGGAATACAATTTCTTCTCAAAAAAAAAAAAAAAAAAAAAAAAAAACGAATAATGAATTATAGAGAAGTGTATCATACTTCGGAGAAAATTAACTTCCCCTAGCTTTCTCTCAAAAAGGGATCTTAATGACGTTTGAACGAGGAGTTCGTAGCCCTTTTTAAAAGAACCCTAGAAAACATCGATTTTAAGATAAAAAAAAGTTATGTTTTAATTTATGTGCTTGAAATTCTTCATTTGATATCTGAAAATGACTTTAAGAAAGCAACAAAACTCATTAATGAGAAAATGGTAGCCAGTCATAGAACAAAAATCTGGTTAAGAGGTTAATTACCCTTCAAGGCCTTCGCTCACAACCCCCTTTCCAGATATCTAGGGAAGACTATTTATTGCCTATATTTTGTGAACGTCCGTCTAGAATTTTGAAAGATAAACCTCCGTTTAAAAAGTCCTTCTAACTACATTGAAGGGTAGTTATTACGATATTTGTGTCCTGTATTTTTTGCTTTCTTAATAATCATTTTTCCAGGTAACTACATGTAATTGTAGTGTCTGCATATTATTTTCTAAGCGCGTTGAAATCTACACATTCATCACAGAATTTTTTATTTACCCAAGTGGAAAAAAGTTCTCAAAGTCTCTATCCTCTTTGTGATCATAGGAGCTCGGTCGCTTGATCATAGCAACGTCTTACTTAAAAATAGTTACAAACAAAAGTATAATACAATCTCCATATCACAAAGCTATCGGTTTTCGAACAGCAGTAAACATGTCTTTGTATATGACGTTATTTTTTCGTCATAAAAATGGCTCAAGTGTTTTCAATCTAGTTGGAAATGTCCAAGAAGTTTGAAATTTCGATCCCAAGTATAAGGAACCTGCAAAATTTGAGAAAAAAAATTATTAGTCATAAAAATCGTTTTGGAAAAAAAAATATATGTAGAGAAATGTAGTATTTTACAAAATGGAAATATGGAAAACAAAACGCCATTAACAGCATACAGAATGAAATTTCAAAGTTGTACAACTAATTAATTATGAAACTGCTTTTGCACTAACAGTTCTCCTTCTTACATTTTATTTTTTTCCCGAGGAAGTGATAGATTCTGTCAAACTAAAATCTCAGAAATAAGTTTTATTTTTACAGGAAAAACTTTATGTGCAATTCGATTACACGAACAAAAGAATGTATATTGAGGGATCTACAAAGCTTCCGCTTGGAGGGAGAAACCAGTTTAAACTGGTTAATGACTATAAGACGGTAAGCTTTAAAAGCAAAAATTCATCAAGTATGCACATCCTCCGTATAAAAAGAATATAACAATACGTAATGAAGTTAAATTAATTTTTTTTTCTGCCTCGAAATGAATAATCTGTTGGAATGGACAAGAATATATATATCTATAATAGCATGCAGTTTGCTTTTGTTTTTTTTATTTGTCAAAGTTCAAAATAGCCTTTTTCGTAATTCATTGTAAATATAAACAAATGTCAATACTGTCAAAAATAAAAAAAATAATAAATAAAATCAAAAAATAATAAGAAAGGTATAAAGAATAAGAGTGTCCCAAGTGAGCGTTTAACTAAGCATCCCCTTATTTTAGAATCAAATGTTTTCATTAACAAACGGTGTATGCTATGCAATGGGAACTCCGAGCACACCTCTGCAAGACCCATGCCAACTCCGTGAGTATAACTTCATTGAATATTAATTTAAGTTTCTGATCAGGTCCAAAAAAAAAAAAAAACTTCCTATCTTACAAATGATGCATGCATTTTATTTCTCGATTATGCTTAAATGTAAACTTTGCAGGAAATTATTAAATGCTTTATTTTACTTATGAATAAAAGTAATGATAAAATTCTTATTCAAATTTCTATATATGTCTATTTTTAATATGAAGTAATTATCAATCATGATAAGGCACAAGAGCACTTGGGACATTAAAGGAGGACATGCGCCTCCATGGTGTGTTTATTAATGAACAATTTAATGGCTAAAGTAATAGACAGTGTTCAGTATTTTATATTTGTTCGGGGTTTGGGGATAAAACAAGAAACCTCTTTCTTTATGTATCAGTAAACGCCACCTTTGTCGGATCCTCACTTTTGGGATCTCCATCTAAGCATATTGCAGTCAACACTTTTCAAATGACCTTGGATGAAACCAAAGTCAAAGTCGTATTGTCTGCAGACGGATCCTGCACCCCTGTTTTGTGGACGATTGTTGGAAATCTAAGGGGAGGTAAGCAAGGAATTGTCTAGAAGATGAAGTGATATAGTGTGTAACTAAATTTACTTCTATGCAGAAAAATAGTTCGGATACAAATATATGTTCAAGCAGATTAAGTTATGGTGTTTCAAAAACGCATACTTTGAAAAGTCACACAAAGGAGGAAAATATATGGAAAAGGTTCATTAAGATGAAGCTTGTCAATTTCAAAACACTAAGTAGATAGCAACACAATGCTTCACACGTATTTTGAAAACAAAACAGTTACAGACATATCTTCTAGATATGTGCATTTAATATGTGCATTTAATTTCTCTTAGATTAAATGTCTCACGTTCATCTTTACATCGGCTATTTTATGTATACGGCAGGCAAGAATTTATATCCAGCAATTCGACCGACGCCCACGCATCTTGATACTCTCGACTTTTATAATCTCTCACTTTAAACAAGTGCTCGAGATTTCTCTTTATCTGACTTCCAGTGCACGTAGAAAAACTCTTGCCTCTTTTTTGCAGTCAAACATTCTTGAGACCATGAATTTTACATAATCAACGCCAAAGCAAACCTTATTTATTAAGAAATTGTACAGTAGAATATGTAGAAAGGCTGACGTACAGAAAATACGGAAATATTTCAAATATCATTCATACATATCACGGAAAAGGAGAGAAGCGTTAGTGCACGATAGAAAACGGTAAAGTTGTCAAAGGTCGAGGCAGCAGCTGGTATGGGGGTTCAGACACACAAGCCGTGAAAGTATCAGATAAGTCGAACAATCAAGAAACCGAGACTTCCGAAGCTGTGCAACAAGGTCAAGCCATAGTTTTGCAGGTATTGACTTCTAAGGTTGGTGAAGGTAATAGAGGCCAGCCTCAGTCAAGTAACACAGGAGTGAATTTTAAGGCACAGGTGTTAATATTGATTTTCACTAAAGAATCAAGGTCCGTGACCAACTGTTTTGCACTTAAAAGAAAGGCTAGGTGTGCCTGCAGATTAAGAAACAGGTGCGAAACTGTGGGTGGCTAGCCCAAAATCAACTGCTCTACCGGTTAGAAATATGACCGACATCACCTGAGAATAAATTAGATTTATTAGCCGGGCTATTTGCTCAAAGAGTAATTGCCGGCTATTGTCAGCCTGTTCAAGGAGGATATTGACCCTGAAGCCGCAAAATTAAATTTACGTGTAAAAATATAGTACTTACTCTCAGTCGCATTTGAGCTATTACAAACGCTAAATAAAAGAACAAAAATACAACGAAATTTTATCTATCTAAAGAAAGATCAGTAGTAAGGCCAAACAAAAAAATATGTGTGGTTCCGGTTACACTTCCAAAAAAATTAGGGTAGGTAGGTAGGGATTTTTTTTTTTTAAATTTTTTAACAAAATGATTTTCTTAATTTTTTCTAAATAATATCTATCACTGCTTTGCAAATGGCATTAAGATGTGGTGTGATAATATACTAGTCAATATTGGTAGGGGACACCTACATGCTAGCTTGCTTTGGATTTAACACTATTAAACACTTGCACTATGTTTTGCAAGGAGGCCGTCATTGCTGAAACTAAAACTTAAACTGGAGCCATTGATGGAAATCGAGGGAAATTCCGGAAAAAATATGAAAATTGCCAAAAAAAAGTTTAGGGTCGGGGGTATAAAATAGGGAAGGTCGGGTAACCGGAACCACACATATTTTTTTATTTGGCCTAATGACTTAGAAAAGGTCAGCTTTATGTCAAACAGCTTAATTCATATGCGTAATGTTTTTTGGTGGTCAAGTTGTCGTAGTCTAGTTCTCTTCAAAGACGGATTAAAACAGGAGAGGGAACCAGGCTGACCTGATTGTTTACATTCGGCATTGCCAGGTTAACTCTGACCTTGATGAATTTTGACCGTGGTATTATGCCCCAAAAATTGGTATATCATTTATGTTTATATTAATATTCTAAAATATTTTTTTTTAATGTAAGGATATTTTTAAAGAAAGGTTAGTTTCAAATAAAAAGCCATTGAAGCCCTTATTTTCTTAGTATCATTATTTTTCTATTGTTTGTGTTACATATTCTTCCAGTGACTGAACTACTTGTTATTTATTTGTTACTATAATGTTTATGTATACATGTATTTCATGTAAATAGTCTTTGTTCACGTCTCTGTAAATGAGCCCGGCTCTCTGTACTTTTGAGTACTTTGATTAACTCTGCTGACCAAAGGTATTCGGAGAGCAAATATGGGTTTTAAGAAGTGTTAAGTGCTTTATACTGGCCAAAGCTAAACTCAGCACTGAAGGTTACTTATCTAATCAGGGGACTTTGTCCTTTGCTGCATCAAGTGCTTTGACAAATTTTTAGGTTTTAATGGCTGGCATCTTGACAAAAAAAAAATCACCCATCCCGCAAACCTAAGAATAGATAATTGCTACTTTGTCTTCTGTACATTGTAACCTGTTTTCTAAGACCAAATTTAACATATATAATTTCACATATACATGTATATAAACCAGGGGCGAAGTCTGAACTTGGAATTCTTTCATCTTGTGTGACATTCACTCTTGATTTGATGAGGGGGGAGGGGTCACCGGGTTGCACCAATTTTAAAGGTAATCCAAGGAGGCAGGAAGCGCTCCAAGGACTACTATTTACATAAATGTAAATTGATTAATTGATAATTTGATTGATTGTATGTTGTTTTACGTCCTATATTTTCACTCATATAGAAACGTCACCATATACCAGTGAAGGGATTCAAATTTAGACCTTTAGTCGGCACTCAGGACCATTGAGTAGCGAAGGTTCTTTATTGTGCAAATGCCTATCGTGACTCAAGGCCTCGGTTTTTAAGGTCTCATCCGAAAGACCCGCAACTTTCACTTCAAAGTGCTTAGCACTTGGCGAAGGAACAGTTACTGCCTATTTTTATCGACTTAGGTCAGTCGTGACCGTGTTCCGATCACGGAGCGAGCGCTCTACCGACCGAGCTACCGTGACGGTCATTAATGAATTAAAAAATTGTGGCAACCAAGCACTCTTCATTAAATATAATTATTATTTCATTCTTAAATTTCATTAATTCAATGTAGTTAATATTAAAACAATTTTGGGAATATTTACATCTCTGGGATTAATCCCAAATAAAGCTTGATACGGATTGTTGAAGTATATCCATAGAGTACATCTTATAGACAGCTCGGTTTCACCTGGTCGTCTTTGAATTTGATCCATGTGCTGCTGAATTTGCATTAACAGTCAATAACAAACTGTTACTGAGAGTATATGTTTAAAGTAGTTTTCAATCGACAGGAAAACTTAATATTTTATTGTTGTGCAGTATACAATTTAATATTTTATTTATTTTCCCCAAATATATACTCTATATTCAATATCAACATTAAAAAATGTTATTGAAAGTCATTGAAAAGTCATATAATATGCAAATTTCATTTAATAGGCCATTAACTGTAAACTCATTAAAGAATCGATATGTAAAATCAAAAGATGTTCTTTCAAATTATATCTTCGTGATATTAATTGAAAATCTACAGCATACAAACAATAAATACATATAGGTAAATCTCTGTTATAGAATATTGTTATCAACGATAATTACTATTTTTCATACAGCTCAGCAACAATTGACCATGACTTTCTCTAACTACACTCCTGGGCTAAAAGATGCTTCCGTCTTCAGCTTTGATAGATCTTCATGTCAACCAGCTCCAACATCTGGACCATAATTTGTTAAATATTTAAACCTCTATTTATTTCCAAAAAAAAAAAAAAAAAAAAAATAAGAATAATAAAATTGTTTTCAATCTTCTTTTCCTTTTATCCACAGATGTATAGGATAGCAAGTAGTTAAATTACAATTACTTGCCGAAATCCTTCAATTAAATTACCATCACCATTGCAAGGATATTGAAATGCAATTAATTAAATGACAATTACTTTGCAAATTTAATTACTTAAATTACAAATTACATTTAGAAACTTAAAAAAAAGTTCCTTTGCAGTCACATCCTATTCACTTACATTTGTTTCTTACATTGGCATTGTTTAAATGTTAATGAAATTCTTAAATCTTGTTTCACCTAACCTACATCAATCGGGTTCAAATTAAAGTATCTTGCTACTATGAAGATGTTTTTCAATGGGGCAACTGTGACAGGAATACATAAATGTTAACTTGTAGCTAGCTTACTCATGTTTTACCTAAAATCATGTGTTAAATTTTCAAGCTTTCTGATATATCTATGAAAATAAACAATGGATGCATTTTGCCTTGATGTTTCTTACATTATCTCAAAATGTTGGCATTTGCTATATTGTGTGTCAAACTACCATTAACTGAAAGTCAATGTGTATATGAAAATGAAGTCAAAATGCGTGTAAAAATCTATTTAGGTTCAGTGTCAATATGTACATGGATTTTGGACACTAATTAGCTCATGATAAACACCTCTAGCACAAGCTGTAGATATGGCAAACAAAGATTAGAAGCCATTGGACCAGGTATTTCAAGTGTCATATCATAAACAACTTAATCAATATTATTAATTTGACTTGCACATTATACAAAGGAATGTTAATTTGATTAGGTCCACACACCTTCCATTAGCATGATAGACAATTGTATCAAAGAAAATGATATGAAGAACAAATTAAAAAGAGCAAAAAACACACACGAATCTTTCAAGGCTCTAAAGTTTACATTTCAAAGGAAATGTAATGAATACATATTGAGTAGAAGACATCAATCACTTCATCCAAATCGAGGCTCCATGAAGAATAGTTTGCAGGTTGAGAGATAGTATTAGAAATCGGCAGATTTTAAATTCTGTAAACCCATAATCCATTTTAAATCATGTTAGAGCACCATCTCGAATTCCGCTTAAAAGTGTGTAAATAAAGTCCGGAAACATAATGGCGGCTACATACCTCTGTGTATACCCGAATAGCCTAGCTCGCTTAAAGACAACCAGGGGAATAAAAATAACAATAAACGGAATCAAGTACATGTACGGGGTAAGTTTAATAAAGAACGTTGTTTTGCGGTTCAAATCCATGAATGAAATCGTATTTCTAAGATCAAATTCTTAATGGATCATATTCTCAAATATTTTGAAAAAAAAATCATCTGTTGAGTTTTGTTCATTTTTTTCAGTAGATGTTATAATATTTGCTCAAAGTTTGAATAAACGAATACTTTTATTTTCATTTCCCCCCTTCTTTTTGATATTCAAAGATATAGATAAAGAAATAATTGCCTTTAATTGAGACTGCAATAATTTCTTTTCTTTCAAATGAAATAAGATGATATGCATAGTATTTATAGAAACCCTGGGATAAAATCGGAAAAAAAGTTTCTTTTTTAATGGAATCAGACTGAATAGCAAATATTGTAATGAGTCAGTGAAGAGGAAAAGAATTTGAAATCCGATGAAAAGAGAAATTATCTTTTTAAAGAAGACCAATAATAGAGTATATTTGGATTTTTACTGCATGAGGGATTTAAAAAAGGGTAAAGAAAATTCATTAACAATTGAGAACACAAACCGTAATTTTCATAGTTTTGGAATTGTACTTTATTTTTTTCCTAGCGGGTATTAGGAAACTATTTTTAGATAATCTGAACTTTGATAAATGTGTGAGACATTTAAAAATGAAGACTAAATTGAGGACAATAACTCGGTAAATATTGATACTCTTACTAGGTTTGTAAAATGCATAACTTTTTTATAATCTGTTTATTCATGTAATTTGTATTCCAATATAGCATTTGGATTTGGGATTTTCTTAATACTATAGTTTTAAGGTGAGTGAAATTAACAGATTATCTCAATTCTATAGAAATTTTATCATTCTCAATATAACGGTATTTTCACATTGTTTTTGTGCAATATTTGAAAAGTTTTAAAAAGAAACGCCCTTCCCAATCAAGAATTTAGAAGATATTTTTATAACAAGAAATTACCGAGATTGTATTTTGCAAAAGTTACTTTTATATTTCTACAGATGTACTGTACTGCTTCAACCCCCCCCCCAAAAAAAAAAAAAACAAAAACAAAAACAAAAACAAAAACAAACAAACAAACAAACAAAAACAGCCAAAAAAAAAAAAAAAAAAAAAAAAAAAAAAAAAAAAAAAAAAGGTCAGTGTCAGACATCGTTTTCTTTGACGAATTCCTGTATATAAAATGTCCCAGTTAGGTATATTATTTTCACAGAAACAATGTGTTTTTTTCTCTCAATTTTTTAAATGTATAATTTTTAAGAAAATTAACGTACGGTATGTGAATCGCATAATGTCACACGAAAAAAAAAGACATATGTATCTCAATTTTGGTAAATAGTGGAGTTTGGATTTCACCTACGTTTATAGGAAATGAAATAAGAAGATAACAAACAATATTCAATCACGAAATTCCAATGAAATGATACAAATTTGGAACATAGCAAATACGGTCTTCAAAATGTAGAGGTTGAATGATTGAGCTTCACTTGCCGACAGGTCACACCTGCCGTTTGCTCCTTGCCATGATAGATAAAAACGGAAAAATCCGCAGACAGTTCAGTGTATAAATAATGGACTTACAATTAGTACAAAAAAAACGTCAGTCAGCATTTGACTCAATGATAGGTTGAATGTGCTGATAAGAGCATTGCATCGACCATAAAACTTGCAAAATGATGACTTCAAACGAGACTGTTGATATCCTTGTTTCATCAACTTGTTTGTCAACAGCTTGTCTCGTTTTAGAAATTGTTCATACGTAGAGTATGCTCTTGCGTATCGAATCAAATGAGAGACATAACACCATAGGCAGCTGATAAGTGTATATTGCTACACAATCAAAGGAAGTTGACGATTGAAAAGTTTAAGTCATCACGTTAAGCATAAAGATTTGTTGTTAGGTTTCCATCAACAACTTTTTCTATTAAAATATATAAATTTGAAACAGATGTATCAGACTCTATGGTATCCTTTATTTCAAGCTCACTTGGATATATCGAGTCGACATATGAATGTAAGTAGCTATTGTTAATTGATAATGCATCGTCTATATATCAAAATGTTGAGTTGAAGGCAAAAACAAGTGTTTTCTTCTTCTCATGTAGAAGTTTTGCGAATATATTCTGCTTTATATGAATACAAAAATAGGTCTGCTAATAGCGGGGCGGAATTGGTACCCATGGGAATTCCAATAGATTGTTGGAAGATCTGATCTCCAAAAACTACATTTAAGATATTGTCACTAAGAAACTCAAGCATCTTTTTCAACTTCAGTGTACTTGTGTGTACAATCAGAATGCTTTTTAACAAAATAATTTTGCAAATGACCAATGACAAAGTTAGTATATTTACGAGTTCCATTTTTATTGAAAAAAGCAGCTGTTTATGATTTCAAAAAGTCTGGAGTTCAATTTATCGTGTGGATTATTTGTATAAAGTGTTGAAAAGTCGTACGTTTTGATTATTTATATTTGTAAAATTTTGTGATTTCAAATTGTCTAAAAGTTACTGGGAATTTTTAAGAATCCCCATCGGATTTACACCACTTCTCGAATAAACTGTTGTAAGTACTCCTGAAATTTATATTTAAATTTACAATTGAAAAAGACGTTAATGATATTCTTACAACAAAACCTTATTATAAACGTGCTGAATCAACTTTTTTTTATCATCAACTGCCATATTCATCTAGCAAAATGCATGTATCCTCATTACATGTACCTGAATAGGAGTTTATGTCTACCAGTTCATTCGATAGGACATAATTAGAGCATGCTCTACCTGCGAACAATTTCTAAATCGAGACAGGCTATTGACAAATAAATTGATGAAATAAAAATATTAACAGTCTTGATTGAAGTCAACATTTTGCAAGTTGTATGCTCCATACAATGACCTTGTCAGCAAACACAAATCTATCATTACGTCGAATTCTGACTGACATTTTTCAAACTAATTCATCGGTCTCTTATTTATACAGTCACTGAATTGTCTACAGATTATTCCTTTTTTTCGATCATCACATGAGCACACAGCAGATGTGACCGGTCGAACGGTCGACTGGAGGTGATTACACCTCCATGGCACCTAATCCCACCTTTGATGTTCTTTTTAGGTTTGTGTTTGCTCAGCTTCCTCTGTGTATTGTTTCAATGGGCTTTTACGCTTGATTACTGTTCTTTCTCTCCATATCTAATGATTAACATGCATTCCATTAATATATTTTGCTACGATATGTAAAATGTACGTTTAGCGGTTAGTTGAGTATTGATATAATTGTATTCCTAAATACAATTAAAACATAAAAAACATTAAAACCAATAATATTTTAATCTTTAAAAAGCTAAAAAAAAATAGTAAATCAACAACAAAGAACATATTTTTTTTTAATTCATTGAAATATTTTACTATTATTGACTTGATATATAGTTGCCCGCGTCGGGCAGTGGTCAGAGCGTTTGCTCTAGAGTGGCGCAGTAAGGAGTTATTCTTATATCGCGGCATCAAATCCCACCGCTGGACGTAGAGACCGGTTCTTCGGATGAGATAAAACACAGCTTTAACTGCAGTATATTTAAATTAATTTAATTATCGATTAGGTATTGTCTATCAAAGAAAGAGGAAAATATTAAGCATCTCATATATGCACCTGTTTAATATGACTAACGTCAATAAAATATTATAAATAAATGAAATGATATACAAGTTTACAAATAAGCATAA